CCTCGGTTACCGAAGGAATTAAGAGTGGAAACAGCGCAATCTTCCAATCCTCCTGGGACTGCAGTGTTGCAAATGTTACTCCCCTGTTTGAAAAAGGATAAACCGGGTAACAACTGGCCAGTCAACTTTACGACAGTCGTGAAGAAATTTCTAGAGACTATAATCCGGGACAAAATTTTACATTAATGCTGACCAACTAGAAACTGGTTGCATCCAGAGAGTATAACAAGGGATAGCTGCGAGATCCTTACTCGAGCAGGGAGCCCAGAGTGATCTTCAACCGGAGTGAGGCGAGGCTAGAGTGCGAAGGAATTGGGTGAGAGTGGGAATTAGGTGCAGAGGGGGACGTATATCTTCTAAACGACAATAATACAGGGATGAATAGAGTGAGAGGAGAGAATGACCTGGTAGGTGATGTGTGAGGAATGTGGGAGTTGATGGAGGGCAACCTGAGTCCGGGCGACTTCACCTGCAGCAAATATGTACAACTGAAGAAGATCCAGCTTAGAATGGATGAGCAGGAGTGTCAGGTAGAGACACTGCGCAGCATTAGAGATGGGGAGCGCTTCCTGGAGAGTTCCATCCTGGAGCCAGACACTCCCACGAGTTCCAGGGAACATTCCGTTGCCAGCCGCGGACAGGACTGGGTGACGGTCAGACAGGCGCGTAAGGGGACCCGAAAGAGAGGGGCAGAGGAACCCCAGGCTTTAACCTTATCCTAAAGGTATGAAATACTTGCAACCTTTGTGGACATGGAAGTCTTTGAGGAAGATGGGAAAGCGTACCCCAATCTCTATACAGGATGCCACACTGGGAATAGTCAGAAGGAATATAGTATTATTTGTGGATGAGACAGTCAGGTAGACTGACGCACTTTCCTGAAGCCGTAACAGGGAGACAAGAAGACTATGTTGCCTTCCTGGCGCTAGGGTGAAGGACGTCACCTATGGGCTGGAGAAAATTGTTGAAGCATGTTGGAGTGGATCCAATAGTTATGATTCACTTTGGGACCAATGATGTAGGTAGGACAGGTAGGGAAGTGAGTAAATTCAATCACATGTAATAGGTCACAATGAAAATTAGGACCGTTGAAAGTGGGAGAGCAGATTCACAGGGCAAAGAGTGTCAAGCTCGGAAAGGAAGCCCATGGATCGGGCACTGATGAATAGGACTAATAGCCCGAAGTTAAAATTAAAGGTGATATATCTGAATGCGCGAAGCATTCAAAACAAGATAGATGAGTTAAATGCACAAATAGAAACAAACGGGTATGATCTAGTAGCCATCACCGAGACCTGGTTACAGGGTATGTGGCGTATAGAAAAGATAGGCAATGTGGTAAACGAGGAGGGATGGTGGCCCTGCTAATAACGGATGGGAGAAAAACAGTAGAGAGGAAAGATTTTAAATCAGAAAAGCAGGAATTAGAGTCAGTATGGGTAGAGGTACGTAAAACAAGAGGCAGAAAACTCCAGTGGGAGTAGTTTATAGACCCCCAAACAGCAGTCACAGTATGTCTCAAGGTATAAATCAGGAAATTAGCAGAGCATGCAGTGAAGGAAAAACATTAATTGTGGGTGATTTTAATCTGCACATAGATTGGAACAACCAAATTGGGAAAAGTACGATAGAGGAAGAGTTTATAGAATGTATTAGGGATATTTATCTAGATGAGTATCCCGAGCAGCCAACCAGGGAACAGGCCATATTAGACCTTGTTTTGTGCAATGAAGCAGTGCTGATCAGCAAACTGGAAATTAAGAATCCTCCAGGCCAAAGTGATCATAATACGATGGAAATTAGCATTCAGTTAGAGTCCGAAGCAAATGTTTTAAATTTAATTAGAGACAATTTTGCTGGTATGAGAAAGGATTAAGCCAAAATAAACTGGGAAATTAGACTTAAGGATTTGACAGTAGACCAGCAATGGCAGACGTTTAAGGAGATAGTGCAAAATTCCCAGCAAGCACGTATTCCTTTGAGGAATAAGAATGACACGGGAAAGGTGAACCAACTGTGGCTAACTGGAGCAGTTAGGGAAGGTATAAAGTTAAAGGAAGAAGCCTATAAAACAGCTAAAATGAGTAGTATTCCCGAGGATTGGGAGAACATTTGCGATCAACAAAGGATTAAGAGAGAGCAAATGGAATATGAGGGCAAACTAGCGTGAAACTTGAACACAGACTGCAAGAGTTTTTTATAATATATAAAGAGGAAGAGGCTGTCAAGAGTAAATGTGGGTCTGCTGCACGCAGAGACGAGGGGAATTACAATAGGTGACAAAGACATGGCAGAGTCATTAAACAAGTACTTTGCTACTGTGTTCACCTTAGAAGACACTGAAAACCTACCAAGAATAGAAGAGAAAAAACAAGAAATGTTGGCGAGCAACTTGGAGGAATTAATATTAGTTAAGATATGGTTTTTGGTAAATTATCACGTCTTAAAACTGATAAATCCCCTGGACCTGATGGCCTACATCCTAGGGTTTTAAAAGAGTTGGCTAATGAGATAGCGGATGGCTGCTGTGACTCTCACCAGCAGAGAGGAACAAGAGGCTGTGAGTTCTGTACTTGCCGTATGGTTAGTTATCCCAGCCTGTGGTATCCTGTCTTTGTGCAGAAGTAATGAGACAGATGCAGGTCAAGAAGCCTGGGCTTTAGTTGTTGATTGAAAACTCTCTCACTTCTCACTGTGGCCAATTATGGAATAGGGAGGGCAGTACGCACACTGTCCAGGGCTGTGTGTGAGTGTGTGCGCGTGTGTGTAGGGAGGGCAGTGCCATCACAGACACACAGTGAGGAGCCAATGTCAACCCCCAGTTACCAGCTACAGACAGACGCATACATACACAAACAAACAGACAGACAGATACAGATAGACAGCGATAGACAGATAGACAGCCCAACAGGCAGACACAGTGAGGTGTCACTGTCAACCTCGAGTTACCAGCTACAGACAGACACAAACACACACACAGACAAACACACAGTGAGGAGCCAATGTCAGAGACTAGTCACCAGCTACAGACAGACAGACACATAGGCAGGCAAACAGGAAGACACACTGACGGACAAACAGACAGACACACTGACGGACAGACAGACAGGCAGCAACAGAATCAGATGGACAGAGAACCAAACAGAAAGACTGATTGACAGATAGAAAGACAGAGAGAGAGACAAAAAAGACTGACAGAGAAAGAAGGACAGACAGGAAGACAGTGAGGAGCTGATGTCAGCAGACAGACAGCTGTCACACAGATAAAGAGCAGACAGAGAGGCAGACACCAGAAAAACAGACACACCGATATGCAGACACAAAAACAACCACACAGACAGATAGACAGACAGACAGACAACAACAACAACAATAACAACAAGATTCCATTTATAAAGCTCCTTTCACGTCAGGAGGACGTCCCAAGGCGCTGCACAGTTGGGTCATGACCCGAGCAGGGGGGAAATGGTCAGGGTGAGGGGAGGGAGGGAGCGAGGAAGGGGGAAATGGTCAGGGTGAGGGGAGGGAATGGAGGGAGCGCGGAGGGGGGGGGGGATGGTCAGGGTGAGGGGAGGGAAGGGAGGGAGCGAGGAATGGTTAGAGAGTCGAAAGGGGAGCTGAAGGCTCGGTCAAAGGAAGGTATTGAGACCGACCTTGAAGGAGGAAAGGGAGGAAGCGGCGAAGGCAATGGGGGATGGAGTTCCAGACCCTCGGGGCTGAGAGGCTGAAGGTCCGTCCACCGATGGTAGGGCGATTGGGGCGGGGGACGTGGAGCAGACGGACAGACACTACGTCAGTCCCTCTCACCCTGTTTCAAGTTCCGCCTTAAAACCTTCCTCTTACCGTCACCACTTCAGTGTCGGCTTCATCTCGAAGCTTGAAGTCATCTGCTCCTCCAGAGCCCCTCCTCCCCTCACCCACCAGCCCTTTATGTCATGGCTATCAGCACTGCCCTCTCCCTGCTCTTCTTAGCCGTTATTGCTCCCTCTCCCTCTCAACCATCATATCCTACCTGCTGGTCACTCAACATCCCCTCCTCTCCCCTCTGCTGGCCGACACGGTCAAACAGTCTCCCTCCCGCGGCTTTGTTTCTCATCCGCTAAAATTACCTGTTATTCATGCCCTCCTCCTCATCATTATTCCTACTATTCTTATTAATTGAAGTGATTATATCCCTAGGAAATGCCAGCAGTCAATCAACTAATGGATGTTCTTGCTGACTGCACGGTAAACCTAGGGAGGGGGCAAGGCGGAGGGATTGAAGGAGAAAGTTACAGAGTTGTGTGTCCTCGTGGCTGAAAGGGCGCATGGGATGCGCAGGAGGCCTGAGCCGAACCAACCTGTGTGGTGTGAGGAGGTCAGAGAGGCAGCTTAGTTAGGTGGCAGGGAATGAAGAGAGTGTGACCAACCAAAAAGCTATAGGACCATGCAATAATCTGAGCTCCATCTGTGTAGTCTTGTGGACATAAAAGATCTCGCAGCACAAATTGAGAAAGAGACTGATGTTTCTCTCCCTGATTTCCTGGCTGACAATCCCCAAATAACATCGGCTGACAAGACAATCCCCCAGATAACATTGGCTGACCAGATAATCCCCCAGATAATTTTGGCCGGTAACTGTATGATTGTTTGCTATACTTGGTTGTGTGGCGATTGGCTGCACTTTCACCAAATCCCGACGGTCACTACACTGAACAGAAATGTGTAGAGCTGTGAGACTTTAAATGTTCTGTATCAAATACACGACTTGTTGTTATTTTTTTTCGTTTCCCAGCCTAGGAATATCACTGGCTTTCCAGACGAGACCAAAGTGAAACGAAGAGAGAATCATGAGTCCTGTGAGCGTGATCATGGTATAAGGGTTTCTTATGTTCTCCTGGGATCACAGTCACAATCAGCTGATTTCACAAGAAGAGACAAAAGGAGACGTTTTGACAGCCCAGTGACTGGGAGCCGCCCACACACTCACACTGAAACTGAAACCAGTTTGAATCAGGAAGTGCTGAAGGAGAAAATGGCTTCTGGGCTCCAGAATGAGTGCTGGACCGAGGAGATTATTTGCCCGATTTGTCTGGATTTCTTCACTGATCCGGTTAGCATGGACTGTGGCCACAACTTCTGTCGCTGCTGTATCACCCGGAGCTTGGAAAACCAGGAGACAAACCGCTGTGCAGTTTGTCAGGAAACATTTGCAGAAAAGAACCTCAGTGTTAATCGGGCCCTGGCGAGTCTAGCAGAGAAAGCTCGAAAATTCAGCCTGACCCCGACACAGACGGAAATTAAACTTCACTGTGAGAAACACCGGGAGGAATTGAAGCTGTTCTGTGAATCCGACCAGAAATTGCTGTGTGTAGTTTGCAGTCATGGGCAGGAACACAGAGATCACAGCTTCCTGCCCATTGAGGAAGCTGTTGAAATCTACAAGGTAACAATAGCCCTGATGAGGGAGTAAATCTATTCCACTTAATTTCACGCACAAGGACTTTTATTCTATGTGTTTATTCCAGGATCAAGTGAAATCCTTCTTAGATTCTCTCACACAGAGGAAGGAAACTGCTCTACAAGCTGAAGCCAAACAGAGACGAAATATTTCTCAACTGAAGGTAAGTTGTGTCTGGGCTGATTTCTGGCCTATCAGTTGGTCTCTATTTAATGTGTGTACATGTTGTGATGTCTCAATGTGTCTCTGTTTGCTGTTCGTACATGCTGTCTCCCTTTACTGTGTGTACAGGTTGTGATGTCTCAGTGTGTCTCTCTTTACTCTGTGTGCATGGTGTGGTGTCTCAGTTTGTCTTTCTTTACTGTATGCACACGGTGTGATAGTTATCTCAGTTTGTCTGTCTTTACTGTGTGTATAAGGTGTAAAATCTCAGTGTGTCTCTCTTTACTTCATGTACACGGTGTGATGTCTCAGTGTGTCTCTCTTTACTGCATGTACATGGTGTGATGTCTCAGTGTGTCTCTCTTTACGGTGTGTACATGGTGTGATGTCTGAGTGACACTCATTAGTATGCGTATATGGTGTGATGTCTCAGTGTGTCTCTCATCACTGTGTGTACAGGGTGATGTCTCAGTTGTCTTTCATCGCTGTGTGTACATTGAGTTGTATCTCAGTGTGTCTATCTTTACTGTGCGTACAGCATGTGATGTCTAACCTTTGCAGGAACAGGCGAGGAGTCTGCAGACCCAAGTCAAAGACGATTTTTGTAAAATACATCAGAGCCTGAATGACAGAGAACAGCGGGTGATGAGAGATCTGAGAGAGCGTGAGAATGAGATAGTGCAGCGAATGGAGTCAAATCTGCGAGAGATTCAGAGCAATTTAGATTCAGTTCAACAAAAAATCTCAGAGCTAATGATACAGATGAAAAAAGACGGGCCGATCTTTTTGCAGGTAAAGAGATTACATTATATTTGAGGCCTATATTAGTTACACATAGTCTGGAGCAAAACATCTAATACTGATTGATAAAGAAAGAGAATCAATTGGTAATTCAGGACACTGTGGTGTGTGTCTGTCAGCAGGTCTGAATGTGTGTCTCCAGCTATAAAGTCGCACAAACAACACTTCATGGTGGCTGTATTTCTGAACCTTCTGACTTTTTGGAAACCACTTTGAGTGAATAACTTTGCTGTAATAATGACAGTAAACTCTGTGCTGAAGAATCCTGTCCTTTGTGTCTGAGATTAAAATGTAATGTCTTAAAAATTACATGTGTACAGCGTCTTTCACGTCCAGTGCCTTGGGACTTCCTCCTGACGTGAAAGGTGCTGTACACATGTAATCTGTTGTCGTTATTGTTGGCGTCTCAGTGTGAGCTCACAGCTGTCTTTGTTTGATTTCATCAGGAGGAATCTGCTCGGAATAAAAGGTATGAAATATTCTTTTCCAAATATCCCAGAATTTAATACATAAACAAACACAATGTGTGATTTCACTTTATGATGAAAAACAGCTGTCATCAACCTATCTCCCAATAATAAATTCCATGGACCCATCCCTGCTCAGTAACTGCCACCCAATCTCCAACCTTCCTTTCCTTTACAAGGTCCTTGAAAGAGTTCTTGCTTACCAGCTTCACTCCGTCCTCACTTGTCTCTCACTTCATGAACCCCTCCAATCGGGTTTCCTGCCCACAGTACGGAAACAGCCTTCATCAAGGTGACAAATCAACTCTGTCCATCTGTGACCAGGGCTCCCTGTGTCTTCTCATTCTCCTGGATCTCTCTGCTCCCTTTGACACTGTAGCCTCCTCCAATACCTCTCCTCTAATCTCAAACTTCAAAGTTCTGTCAATGACTGGTTCAGATCTTATCTATCAACACAGCTTAATTTTGTCTCCAGAAGTCTCTTCTCCTCATCGTCTCATGTGGTGTTCCGCAAGACTCCATCCTCGGTCCTCTCTTCCTTAACCTGTAGATGCTATCTCTTGTTAACACCATCATCAGACATGGAGTCCACTTCCATATGTACACGAATGACTCCCAAATTTATTTCTCTGCCTCCAACATCGACGCTATGTCCACTGCTGGTCTGACAGAATGTTTGTCAGATATAAAGTCCTGGATAAGAGCCAACTTTCTACAGTTGAACATCAGCAAGGCTGAGGCTCTCCTGATTAGCTCATACCAGCAACTTCCACCTCAGGCACTGGCAGCATCAGCACCTATAGATGCACATAACACCTCACCAAGCCAGTCAGGAACCTAAGTGTCTTGTTCGATCCTCAACAGTCTTTTCTCCCCCACGACCATGCCATGACCCGCTCTGCCTTCTCCCACCTCCGCAACATTACATGACTCCATCACTGCCTCAGCACTTAGGCCTCCAAAACCCTCATGCATACCTTTTTTACATCCAAGCTCGAGTATGCCAAAGCCTTGCGTGTTGGCCTCCCAAACTCTTCCCTCCACCAGCTGTAGATCAATCAGAACTCAACAAGTCATATCCCCCTAAACCAAGTTCCGTGAACCCATCTCCTCCAGCCTAGCTCGGCTTGATTTGCTCCCCATCCCTCAGTCTATCGAATTCAAAATTCTTGTCCTCAGTTTCAAAGCCTTCCAGGGCCTTACCTCCTCCTAACTCACCTTCTTGCTAACTCCATATCAACCTCTACACTTCCTCCATTCAGCAGGCTGCCGCCTCTTCCATATCTCCAGCTCAACCTGCCCTGCCATTAGCGGATGGGATTCCAACCTCTCTGATCCCATCATTTTGCATTCCATCCCAAAATCCTCTGGCCTCACTCCCTCCCTTGAATCGTGGCTCCTCGCGGGCTGAAGAGCCTCTGGTGGCATCAGCTGATGCCACAGTCCTCTCCTCACACCCAGGTCACCTACACTGTTATAATTGCTCTGGATACTGGCCGTGGGGAAGGCGGGTAAACTGGGCCCTGGACTTAAAGCCTGAGGATTGGCACTGCAGTGGCATCTATGGGATGCTGTTTGTTGTCATGGGGTGGTGATGATGGTGGTGGGGGTGGGGAGCAGTCACCCCTTTACTGTGTCGCACACCAAGGAGAGTGAAGCCCGAGAAAGCTCTTTCTGCTCTGGAAGGCAGGATAGGAAGAAATTGCTGCCACGAGGATAGGACACAGGAATCCTGTGGCCCAGTCTTATGGGCTGGAGGAGACTTGGCTATTGAGTGCGGGGAATGAGTGCTGTCGGGCCTGAACCAGAGAAGGAGAGAGCATGTATGGAGCGAGCAAACCGAGGGACCTTCAACCTGGGAGCTGAGTGGGAAGAAGTGATGTTTACCAAAGTAACCAACCTGTCCACTCGCGCCCCTCTCGGTGAACACTGGCCTGCACTGTGTCCCCCGCTCTGCTCGCTCCACTATCGCGTTTGTTCCCCCACACTCTGGAACTCCATCCTGGGACACAGCCACCCCACATATGCCTCCATCAATGCCGATCTCAAGACCGTCCTCTTTGACCTTGCCATCAGTCACCACACCCCACCCGATTCCCAGCTCTACACTCCTCCGATCGCAACACCCAGATCGAGGACTAAAGTCTCGTTGCCAAGTGGTTTAGGGCATATTCCTGCCGTTAATGGCGCTAAAATTGCAATTGAATGCAATTGCTGCTATGGAGATTTGGTGCTGCTCAAAACTTCCAATCCCGTCCATGGAAAGCTCTGACATTATACTTCGTGAATGTAATATAAATGTCAGCTCTTTTATGGATCAACCACGACTGAGAAATGATGTGTGTGTGTGTGTTTGTGTGTGTATACCTTCAGGTGTATTTGACCCTGGACCCTGCGCCTTGGGACTTCCTTGCCACGTGGAAGGCTACTGTATATATATGTCAATAATAATAATAATAATCCTTGCATTTGATATAGCGCTTTTCACGTCGGGAGGACGTCCCAAAGCGCTTCACAGAACACACTGTAAAGTGAATTGACTGTATATTTGCGGGCGAACGCGGCAGCCAATTGCGCACAGCAATGTCCCACAAACAGTCGGAGATTCAAAATGACCAATTTATTACTGTTTTGTTTTTTTGGAGGGATTATTATTAGGCGTGTGGAGTAAGGAAACTTGCCCAAGGTTTCACCCTCTGCCTGGAATTGAACTCAGGTCTCTCGCTTGCAAAGCGAGTGCTCTAACCACTGAGCTACAGGACTCCACAATGTTTGTTGTATTGCTGCACTATGTTTACCGTGTCTCTGTGTGCAGGCAGGAAGAAAATAATCTGGGAGATTGCGGATTGCAGGGACTGAGTGAGGCTTTGAAGAACCCAGAGTGTAAAATACAGGTTCTGGAGTGAGTAACACAATGTGGAATTTAATCAAATGGGAAAAAATAACATTGGTACCCTACAGTGGCCATAAACACACACAACATGGCCTATGACCTGTCACAGTCAGCGTTGATATCCTCTCTCACCCCGCTCTCACCCCGCTCTCAAGTAAAGGATTTCCCCACAAGAGCCCGGCCTCATCATGTGGCCAGGCCTCAGGCCCTCCTCTCTCAATATCCAGAGTGGATGGACTGGGGCAGAGAAACTTACAACTTTATATCCACCTTCATACTCCCCTTTATCAACCCACTGCGCTCCCAACAGGATGAGCTGGTGTCCATCATTGTGAGGAGGAGACTCGTTCCAGCCACTGGCTGATTGATCAGGTTACACACTTGCTCACTCGATCGGCCTGTGATCCTGACAGGAAGTGGCCAGGCTCCTCATGGATTGAACAGCTGTTCATGGAATCAGATGTTCCCACTGCCCTGTCATCACTTCCACGTCACTTGTACTGTTTCAAATGACACTGGGTACCGGCCGGGGGAAGGTGGGTAAACTGGGTCTTGAAGCTGTAAAGCCTGAGGATTTTAAGGACAGAGGCAGCTATGGGGGAGCTGTGTGTTCGGCTGTGAGGTGGAGCTCAGTCACCACTACACTGTGTCGAACACATGGTCTGAGTGAGCCCCCAGGAAGCTCTCTCTGCTCTCGACGGCAGCTCGGGAGGATCTGCTGCCCTGAGGACAGACGCAAGAAGCCATTGGCCTAGTGACGTGACCTGGAGGAGACCTGGCTATTGAGTGCAGCGAGTGAGTGCTGTGGGGCCTGAGCTGGTGGAACCAGAGCAGGAGAGAAGCCGAGAGGGTGCAGGAGCCAGTCCAGGGTCACTGGGGTATGTGCAAAGGGGAAGTGGTGTTTAAAAACCAACCTTTTCGCTCAATCCACTCGGTGTGCACTGCGCTGCACCATATCCCCTGCCATGCCCGCTCCACCATCGACTCTTCTACATTCAGTCTTTCCATCAACACCCAATGGAACTCATCCTGGAAAACCTATATCTCTCCTGCTCCTTTGCCTGCTTCAACGACCATCTTCCCCTTCGACCCTGCCTTCGGTTAACCTCCTACCCCAATCCACGGCACTCCACCTGTCTCTGATGTCAATCCCAAGTTCAGGTGCAAACCCTCATCGCCTTGGTACGTCTTCCTGACATGAAAGGCACTAAACTTGCAATTTGATGCTGTTGTCGTGGAGACTGGGGCCACTCGAAACTTCAATCCTGTCCCTGTAAAGCTCTGAGACATCACCCTGCGAGAAAGTAATATAAATGTTAGATGTGTTTTCAATTTAACACAACTTTGGTAGGATTAATGTGTGTGTGTCTGTGTGTGTGTGGGTGGGGGGCATGTGCGGCTATGTCTGACCTTGACCCCAGCGCCTTCGGACTTGCTCCTCACGAGAAGGCAACTGTATATATATGTCAATGTGCATTGTGTTGTTACACTATATTTCCTGTGTTTGTGTCTCTGTGTCCAGGCTGCAGAACCATAATCTGGGAGATTGTGAAGTGAAGCAATTGTGTGAGGATCTGAGGAAACTGGAGTGTAAAATACCGAGACTATGGTGAGTAACACACTGTGGACTTGGTTCAGTAATTGGCTCTAAAGAAAGATTATTATATCCTGAGCAGCTGTAGACAATATTAATTCTAAAAGTGCCTGAAAGCTAAAAGGACTGGCTCAGCGGCAGCGTTTTTAGACAAGTCACAGGAAACAGAGATCCTTCACATTCACTTCCTGCTAACCCTGTGAGACACAGAACTTACAGACTGGTTGGTCTCCTATCCAGTAAAAGAGGATGTTTCCCTCTCACGGGGTCCTTAACCAGCTTTAGCTGGATAAACTACATCAGCACTTATAATAATAATAATAGTAATAGTAATAGTAATAATAATAACAATAATATTAATAGTAACAAAAATAATAATAATCCTTGAATTCAGATATAGCACGTTTCACATCTTCTAGACTTCTCAAAGCACTTCACAGAAAATAAAGTAAAGTCAATTGACTGCATTCTTATGGGCGATACGCAGCAGCCACTTGCGCACAGAAGTGACCCAGAAACAGTCGTGGACTGTCGTGACCAAATTATTAATTTTTTTTTGAGCAAATTTTATCAGGCATGTGGTGTAAGGAAACTTGCCCAACGTTTCATCCTGCTGGGAATTGAACTCAGGGCTCTCGCTTGTGAGGCCAGGTATTAATTGTGCACCACCCCGCCATATTATTAACCATTTGACTGACGTGAACAGGAAATGCCAATGAATGTTTTGCCCAGTGAAAAATACATTGCAAACGGCTATTACAACACAAGAAGTCTTTTCGGTGCAATATATTGTTTTCAGTTGTTGGCAAGAAATAGCAAAATATCGATCAAAATTAAAAGTCACAGTGAACCAGAATAAAGTTGCCTACACCCCAACACCCCCTCATACCCAACACACATTGTGTGGTCACTGAACCTCGAATTGAGCAACCTACACCCCAGTCCTGCAATCCTGATTGTAAGTGTCTGTTCCACGTACAGCGACATTTTAATGTGAAGATGGACAAACGTCAGGCCCCGACCCTTTACTCATGTCTCAGACAATCCATCCCATCCACACTCTCTCATGGTAATCAACGTTATATTCACTTTGATTCCTTTAATGGATCTGTGTCTCTAATCTCCAGGCTAAATAAAAATAATAAGTAAAAGTAATAATACGCACTGTGCTTATGTGCTTACTCTGATCCCTGTTATGTTTCTTTTTCTGTGATTGATAGGATGAGGGACATCGATCTGACAACAGGTAATACCGAGGCTCTGTCCTCCGATTTCATAATAAACCGCAAACTGACGGAGCTGCACTTGAATCATAATAATCTGGGACAATGTGGAGTGAAGCGACTGTGTGAGGCTCTGAGGAACCCGGAGTGTAAAATACAGAGACTGTGGCAAGTAACACACCGTATCTCAATGGTTTGAAGGACTCCAATATATCAATGTGTTTATTGCGACTGTCTGATCAGTGAGGCTGAATATTGTGAGTGGAATCGGTGTGACAGTGTGAGGCCATAAGCCATCTTTTACATCTTTTACATCAAAATCTTAACATGTGTTAATAAGAAACCATGTGCTGCAAATCCCAGCACTAGTGACAAGTGGATAATCACAGCTCCGACCCCTAAATTGGCTTCAAGCCCCAAACCCGCTCATTGTATCTAATCCCGAAGCTCCAGCTCTGGTCCCGTCAATCCCTCCACACACTGTGGGCTAGCAGTCCTCTTCTATTGTCAGCCGTGTATCTGACACACACACAAACCTGTCATCAGGCTTCAACCTCTCCAAACCAACCTCCTGACACGTCCACATCTGAATGGATATGTGTGTGTTGAATGGAGGCACATTCTCTCCAGGGCAGGAGAAGATTTTGACCCTCTGGGTGACTATTAAGATAAATTGTGGATGAGTCTAAAAGCAGTCTCACTGGGAGCTCAGAGAGGCATTTATTTATTATGTGTATTTATTTGCTTGTGTTGATGCGCGCGTACGTGTGTGTCTTCATGTGTTTGTGTGTGTGTGCGTATGTCAGTATGTGTTATCTGGGTGTGTCGGTGTATGTTTCTGTGTGCGTTTGTTTCCGTTTGTGTGTTTGTTTGCGTTTGTATGCGTGTCTTTCTGTGTGGTGTGTTGCTATAGGCTTTTCTGTGTTACTGTGTTTGGTTGTGCCCGTATGTGCTGCGTGTGTGAGTGTTTGTGTGTGTATCTGTGTGCGTGAATATGTGACTGTGTTGTGGGTGTATGTTTATCTGTGCGTGTGTTTGACGATACATGCACATGAGTCTGCTTGTGTGCATATGTATGTGTATCTGTGTATGTTTTGTCTATTTGTGCACATGCGTGTCTGTGTGTGCGTGTATGTGTGTGTGCGCGTGCGTGTGCGTGCGTGTGCGTGTGTGTGTGTGCGTGCGTGTGTGTGTGTGTGTGTGTGCGTGTGAGGCTCCTGCAACCTACCAGCTCAGACATGCAAGATGCTGGGGCTTCCTCCCTCATCCTGAGACTGAACTGAGATTAATCATTCCATGTGTATTCCCAACTGGCTTTAGCTCCTGGAGGCAAATATTTTTATGGAAAAATGATATACTGAGATAGTTTTTTTCGTATCTTTACAGTCAAAACATCTGTGCAAAACCGTCATGCCGAATAAAGTCCAAGCAGCTTAGTTAGCCTGTGTCTGCTCACACACTGCAGGCTGTGCCCTGTAGCTCAGTGGTTAGAGCCCTCGCCTCGCCAGCGAGAGGGCCTGGGGGTGATTCCTGGCAGAGCAAAACCTTACGGATATTTCCTTACTCCACTCGTGTCTGTTTGCCTCACAGTCAGTCACAATCCGGTTGTTAATTGCAGATCGCGTTTCCAGGGTTAATATTCCCTTCAAATAATATTGGCGAGATCGTGAGAGAGACTGAGAGTTAGAGGGGTACTGAGAGAGAGCGACGGACAGAGAGATACAAAGACAGACAGAGAGACTGAGAGAGAAGAGAGACTGAGTGAAAGAAAGACAGAGTGATAAATAATAGACTCAGAGAGAGAGAGAGAGAGAGACTAGTGGAGAAGAACTATAATGAGTCATGACAATTTTTTGTGAGAGGGACGAACAGACAGATACAGAAAGGGAGAATGAGAGAGACAGATAGTGAAGTGTGACTAAGTGAGAGAAAGCTGGAGCGAGAGACGAAGACAGAGACTGACAGAGAGTGAAACGTAAAGAGTGAGACTGAGAAAGAGAGACCGATATAGAGAGAGAAAGAGGGAGAGAAAGAGAATCAGGGACAGACTGAAAGAGACTAAGAGGGAGACTGATTGAGATACAAAGTGAGAGAAAGACATACAGAGCGAGAGAGAATAGGGTAGATTAAATATAATATGTAGTGACTGTCTATTTTGTGGGAGAAACTAAGAGACAGAGACTGAAAGAGAAAGAGAGACAGATGGAGGCAGAGAGAGAAAGACAGAGACAGTGAATCAAAGGTATTGATTGTCAAAGAGAGCGAGACAGAACTAGACACTGGTAGACCCAGATAGAGAGAGATTGAGAAAGATTGAGAGAGAGAGACAGAGATTGAGGGATAGAGGCTCAAAACGAGAGAGAGGGAGACGAAGAGAAAACATGTTTTCAACTGTAGCGAATGTGTGTTTTGTGGGGGGGAAACAGATACAGAGTGACTGGGAGAGAGAGGGAGGGAGAGAGAGAGTGATTGGGATAAATTGCGGGCGACATAGAGAAAGAGATTGAGAGAGAAAGTGACTCAGAGACACAGAGTGAGAGACAAACACAGGGACAACCTCATATAGCCTGAGAGATAGAGCCTGAGATAATGTGAGAGAGAGAGACTGAGCGAGAGATGGAATGATTGAGAGAGACTGAGAGAGAGAGAGAGAGAGAGAGAGAGAGAATATGTCATAACGTGTAGTAAATGTGTTTTGTGGGAGACGCAACGAAAGAAACTGAGAAAGAGAAAGAGAGAGAGAGAGACTGTGAGACACAGTGAAAGACATAGTAGGAGACGAAGGGAGAGAGAGAGAGACGGTGAAAGAGATATATTATCAAACGTGGTGACTGTTTTAAGGGAGAGACAGAGAGAGAATCGGAGACAGAGAGAGACTGTAATGTGTGTGTATATGCGGGTGTGTGGGTGAGCCTGGTCCCAGCGCTTTGGGACTTACTCCCCACGTTAAAGGCTCCTGTATATCTATGTGAGTGTATTGTGTTGTTACACTATATTCTCTGTGTTTGTGTCTCTGTGTCCAGGCTGGGGGGCATTAATCTGGGAGATTATGGAGTGAAGCAACTGTGTAAGGCTCTAAGGAATCCGGAGTGTAAAGTACAAAGACTGGAGTAAGTAACACACTGTGTCTCCAGAGTCTGAATGTCTCCAGCATCTCAATGTGTATATTCTGACTGTCTGATCAGTGAGTTGGAGTATTGTGACAGAAATCGGTGTGACAGTGTGAGGCCACAAGTCGTCTTTTACACCAAACCCTCAACATGTAGTAATGTGTGTGTGTCTGTGCTGTGCGAGTCTCTCTGTCACTACCACCCTCGCACGACGCCATCGCTCCCATACTCGACTGACTCCACTGACTCCCCATCAACCCGAGGATCCAATTCAAGATCTTCGTCCTCACCTTTAAGGCCATCCATGGCCTCGCCTCCTCCTCTCCTATCCGACCTGCTGACTCCCTACCAACCTGCCCGCTCCCTCCTTCCAGCGGATTCCGGACTGCTATATGTCTCCCGTCAGACACGTCCTGCCATCAGTGGCCGGGCTTTCAGCCTCTCTCCCCCCACAATCTCGAACTCCATCCCACGGTCCCTTTCCTTCACTTCCTCCTTTGCCTCCTTCAAGGCCGGTACCATACAATTCTTTTCGACCGTGCCTTTGGTCTCCCTCCCACCTCTCTGCCACTACACCACCCCTCCCACAGCACTCCCACACCCCCTCATCCCACCCCAACCCTCCCCAAATCCTCATCCCTACCCCAACCCTCACTCACTTCCCACCCCTCTCCCACCACCCCCCCTTCCCTCACACTCACCCCTCTCCACCAACACCACTATCCCTCCCCCATGCTCGGACCCGACTCCTGAATGTTCGCGGCTTTGAGACGTCCTCCCATCGTGAAAGACGCTCTAGAAATGTTATTTTGTTGATGTTGTTGTGTATTTGTGTGTGTTGGTGCATAAGTGTATGTGCGTGTTTGTGGATGTTTATGTGTGTTTGTGGGTGTGTCTGTGTATTTATGTATGTTTGTATTTGCGAGTGTTTGCGTGGGTGTGTTCGCGTGTGTGTGATTGTGCATGTTTCTGTGTGTGTGCCTCTGTGTGTGCATTTGTGTGTTTGATTGTTTGTTTGTGTATGTGTATTTATGTATGTGTTTGTGTGTGATTTTGTATGTTTATGTGTTTGCTTGGATGTGTGTGTTAGCGTTTGTGTTTTTGCGTGTCTGCGAATTTGTGTGGACGAGTTTGCGAGTGTTTTTATGAGTGTTCGTGTGTGTTACTGTGTTTCTGTATGTGTTTGTGGGTGTGTGTTTTTGTATGTGTTATGTGTTTGTTTGTGTGTACGTTTGTTTATGTGTGTGTTTGTATTTGATTTTGTGATTCTGTGTGTGTCTGTGTATTTTTTGAGTGTGTGACTGTGTGTGTTGTGTTTGATTGTGTGCATGTGCGCCCATATTTGTTAGTTTTTTTCTGGCTGTATATTTGTGTGTGTTTCTGTGTGATTTTGTTTATGTTTGTGTGTGCTTGTGTGAGTTTTTGCACGCGCTCGTTTGCCTGAGTGTGCTTGTGTGTGTTTGCGAGGGTGCCTGTTTGTGCATGTATTTGTCTGTGGCTCATGTATTTGTTTGTGTGTGTGCGGCTATTTATGTGTGTGTGTTTGTGTATGATTTTGTTTATGTTTTTACGAGTGCTTGTGTGATTGTTTGCGCGTGTGTGTTTGCGCATTTACGTTTGTGTGTTTCTGTGTTTGTGTATTTGTGTTTGATTGTGTGTATGTATGTTTGTGTATCTATGATTGTCCCTGTGCTTGAGCTTTTTCTGCATATGTGTGTTTACGTGTGTGTTTGCGTGTGTTTTTTGTGTGTTTGCGTGATTCTTTGTCTGTCTTTCTCACTTTGTGTGAGAATGTGTGCGTTTTACTGACTATGTGCTTGTCTGTGTGTGTTTGTGTGTCCATGTTTGTGTTTCTGTGTGCGTGTACGTAGGTGATTGCGTGGGTGAGTATGTATGCGTGTGATGGCATGTGTTTCTGTGATGCACGTTTATGTGAGTGCGTTTGTGGGTGGGTGTTTTTGTGTGCATGTGTGTGTCATGGGTAACTGTATGTGTTTGTGTGTTTCTGTTTGTGTGTGTGTGTGTGTGTGTGTTTGTGTGCATGGGTGTGTTTGTGTGTGTTGGTGTGTGTGATTATGAGATTGTTGGTGTGTGAGTGTGTGTGTGCCATTCCTACAACCTGTCGGCCGTCAAACAAACTGTGAGTTACAGTGGATCACGCACACTGTGTTTACTCTGATCCTTGTTATGTCTCTGTGTCTCTGATCTCCAGGCTGTACAGTAACAATCTGACAGCTGATTGTACCGAGGATCTCTCCTCCGCTCTCAGCACAAACCACTCACTGACGGAACTGAACCTGAATAGTAATAATCTGGGAGATTGTGGAGTGAAGCGACTGTGTGAGGCTCTGAGGAACCCGGAGTGTAAAATACAGAGTCTGAGGTAAGTAGCACACGGTGCCTCCAGAGTCTGAATGATTCCAATATCTCAATGTGTTTATTGTGACTGTCTGATCAGTGCGGCTGAATATTGTGACAGGAATCGGTCTGACAGTGTGAAGCCACAAGCCATCTTTTACATCAAACTCTCAACGTATGTTAATGTGTCTTTGTGTGTTACTGTGTGTGTGTTTGTCAGTGTGTGGGTGTGTGTCTGTCTGTGTGTGTCCGTATGTGCATCTGTATCTGTGTGTGTGCGTTTCTGTTGTTAGAAATACTTGCAACTGTTTACAACAATTTTAGAATGATCCGATTCCAGTTTACCAATTGGTTGAGTGTCACTTTATTCAGGTCAAAACAGCAGTTAAATCACGAATAAATGAAACAAGAAAATAATACACAAGACACAAAACGGTACCGAGCGAATCTCTCTTGCAGCCCTGGTCCTGTCTCGCACTGCTCCGCTTCCGTTCCCGAGAGATACCTAACACACCTTTGTTTGAAGACACCTTAATAACTTCAACCAAAGCTGTCTTTTTTAAGCCAAAAACCCCTTATATGGTTGTATCCATAATATGTTTCAATTCTCCCTTTAACCACTTTTGATTCCCTCCTGATCAGTAACTTCGTCCAGTGTGTAAGTGTGAACAGACTTTCTGTGTCATTGTACGTCCTGACCTTATGTTGCCATTGTTTTGGATTCTGCCTTCCGTTACTGAACTTTGCAGCCTTTGCACTTCTATTTTAAGTTCTTAAACCGCACTTTAACATTAATCCATGAAAATACTTTTTGTGTATGTATGTCCGTTTGTGCGTATGTGTATGTGTTTTTCTGTGTGTGTGTGTCTTGTGTGGTTGTCTCCTTTTACGTATCCGTGTATATGTGTGGATGTGTCTGTCCATGTGTGTCTATGTGTATTTTTGTAAGTACTTTTGTGAGCTTATGTGTTTCTGTTTGTGTGTGTGTGTTTGTGTTTGTTTCTGTGTTTGTGTGTGTTTGTGCGTGTGTTTTTGAGTGTGTCTGTGTGCGCCGCTGTATTTCTGTATGTGTGCGTCTCGATTTCAAGGTCCTCACCATGTCTTCAAATCCCTGTACTCCTTTGCAACTCCCGATCCCCTCTGACCTTCTCTCTCATCAAAATAGAACCCGTTGCATTCGTTATGTGTATGCTTGTGTGTGTTTGTATGTGTACTTGTGTGTGGTTGTGAGTTTGTTTGTGTTTCTGTGTGTGTTTATGTGACCGGGCCTTTCAGCCTCTCTGCTCCCATACTCTGGAACTCCATCCCACGGTCCCTTCCCCTCGCTTCCTCCCTTGCCTCATTCAAAGCCGGTCTCAAGACCCTTTTTTGTCCTAGCCTTTGATCGCCCTCCCATCTCTGCCTTCCCTCGCCCTTACCCCAGCCCTCATCCTACCTCTCACACGCCAAAACCATATGATTTTGATTTTGATGATGCTGTTGTGTATTTGTATGTGTGTGTTTGTGATGATGGGTGTCTTTGGGTGTGTATGTGTGTATATGTATTTATGTGTCTGTGTTTTTGCATGGTTGTGTACGTGTGTTTATTTTTGCGTGTGATGGTGGCGTTTTTGTGCGCATTTGTTTGTGTGTGTGTTTGTTTGATGGCGTATGTTTGTGTGTATTTGTTTGTTTGTTTGTTTGTGTGTTTCTTTGTGTGTGTGTGTATTGACGTGGGTGTGTGTGTGTGTTGACGTGTTTGTGTTTGTGTGTGATTTTATTTAGTATGTCTGATTGTGTGAGTGTTTGCGCTTGTGTGTTTGCGTGTGTGTTTCAGTGTGTGTGTTTGATTGTGTTTGTTTCCGTGTGAGCGATTTTGTGTTTATGGGGTTGTGAGTGTTTGTGAATGTTTCTGTGTATTTGTGTTTCTGTGTGTGTGCGTTTGTGTACATCTGTTTGTTTCTTTGTGTGTATCTGTGTATATGTATTGATGTGTATGTGTTGCGTGAGTTTGTGTGATTGTGTGTGTCTTTCTGTGTACGCGCGTTTATGTGAGAGGTTGTGTGTTTGCTTGTGTGTATGAGTGTTTCTCTGTGTGTGTTTCCGTTGTATTTCTGTCTCTCTCTATGTGTGTGACTCTGTGTGCGTGCGTGCTTGTGCGTATCTGTGTGTGTGGATTTTTTCTATGGGTCATGTGTTTATTTGTGTTTGTGTGTGTGTGAGTAAGTGTGTATCTGTATCTGTGTGTACGTGTTTCTGTTTATGTGTGTGCTGCTGTGTGCATTTGTGTGCGTTTGAGTTTGCGTGTGTGCTGGTGTGTGTGTTTTGTGCGTGCACGCGTGCGTGTGTGTGGGTGTTCACTCCAATAACCTGTTCGGCATGAAATAAGCTGTGAGTGACAGTGGTTTTTCCAAACTGTGGTTAATATGATCCCAGTTATGTCTCTTTGCCTCTGATCTCCAGGATCGACAATAACAATCTGACAGCTGATTGTACCGAGGATCTGACCTCCGCTCTCAGCACAAACCACTCACTGACTGAGCTGAACCTGAGTTATAATAATCTGGGAGATTGTGGAGTGAAGCGACTGTGTGAGGCTCTGAGGAACCCGGAGTGTAAAATACAGAGATTGTGGTAAGTAACACACTGTGTTTCCAGAGTCTGAATGACCCCAATATCTCAATGTATTTAACGTAACTGTCTGATCAGTGAGGATGAATATTGTGACAGGAATCGGTGTGATAGTATGCCACAATAATAATAAAATAATAATAATCCTTGCATTTGATATCGCGCTTTTCATGTCGGGAGGACGTCCCAAAGCGCTTCACAGAACACACTGTGAAGTGAATTGACTGTATATTTGTGGGCGATCGCGGCAGGCAATTGCGCACAGCAATGTCCCGCAAACAGTCGTAGATTGAAAATGACCAATTTATTATTGGTTTTGGTTAAGGAGGGATTATTATTAGGCTCTGCGTGGAGTAAGGAAACTTGCCCAACGTTTCGCCCTCTGCCTGGAATTGAACTCAGGTCTCTCGCTTGCAAAGCGAGTGCTCTAAACACTGAGCTACAAGACTCCGCAGCTTCTTCAAAGACAGCTTAAAATCTCGAGCCAAAAGCTGTCGTTTTTAAGTAAAACAACTCTTTTAATGGTTATATCCATAATATGTTTTAGTTCTCTATTTAACCACATGTTATTCTCTCCTGATTAGTCCTTCGTCACTTAAACCTCACTTTAACATTAACCCATGACAACACTGTATGTATGTTTGTGTGTTTCAGTGCATGTGTTTGTATATGTTTATGTGTGCGTCTCCGTGCATGTCTTTGTGTATTTGTGCGTGTTTATGTGTATGATTTTGTTGTTCTGAATGTTTTGTATGTGTTGTGTGTGTTTGTGCGTATGTTTATGAGAATATCTGTGTGTCTATGTATTTCTCCGTGTGTCTGCTTGTGCCTGTGTGTTTCTGTGGTTTTGTGTGTGGGCCATTGTGTGTGTGTGTGTTTCTGTGGATGTATTTGTTTGCATGTTCCTGTGTTTGTGTGCGCCTGTTTGCTTGTTTTTTTGTATGTACATGTGTGCCTTTGTATTTGTGTGAGCGTTTGTGAGTGTTTTTCTGTGTGTGTGCTTTTGTGTGTTTGTGCGTGTGTGTCAGCGCGTTGGGATATCCTCTCAATGTGAAAGGCGCTATACAAATGTGATTTTGTTGTTGTTTTTATATGTGTTTGTGTATGTTCCTGTGAGAATGTGCGATTGTGTGTGTGTTTTGTGTGCGTGCTTCCACCTCTTCCCGTCACAAGCTGCAGATCATCCAAAACTCTTAAGCTCCTGTAATTTCACACACCCGGGTCCCCGACCCCATCACTCCCACCCTCGCCCGACCACACCACTCCCACCCTCGCCCGACCCCATGACTCCCACCATCGCCCGACCCCATCACTCCCACACTCGCCCGACCTCATCACTCTTCGCTTCGCTTCCACACTTGCCTCCTTCAAGGCCGATTTCAAGGACCTCCTCGTCTATCGTGCCTTTGGTCGCCATGTGAGTGATGGGGTCGGTCGAGCGTGGGAGTGATGGAGTTTCTTTGTGCATTTGTATGTTTGTTTGTGCGTGTGTGTTTGGGTATTTATTTGTGTGTTTGTTTGTGCGTGTGTGTGATTTATTTATGTCTGTGTGTGTTCTTGCATATGCTTTTGTGTGTATGTGTTTGTGAGTGTGCAATTTTGTAGGCATGAGTTTGTGTCTTTCTGAGTGTTTGCGTGTGTTTCTGTGTATGTTTGTGCGTTTATGTTTGTTTGTGTGTTTCTGAGTGTGTATTTGTGTGTGTGTTTTTGTGTATGTTTATTTGTTTGTGTATTTGTGTTTATGTGTTTATGTTTGTGTGCGTGTGTGCTTTTATGCTGTGTGGGTTTACGTATGTGTGTTTGCGTGTGTGCGTTTGTGTGTTTTTGTGTGTGCTTCTGTGTGTTTCTGTATGTGTGTTTGCATTTGTGTGTTTCCGTTTGTGTGTATCTGTCTGTGGGTCATGTGACTGTTTGTGTGTATATGTATTTGTGTTTGTGTTTCTGTGTGTGTGTCTGTTTGTGTGTGCCTGTGTGTTTGTGTGTATATCTGTGTGTATTTTTCTGTGAGTCATGTGATTGCTTCTGTTTGTATGTGTATTTATGTATACGTGTTTGTGTGTGCTTTTGTTTATCTTTGTATGTGAGGTTGTGTGAGTGTTTGCGTGTGTGTGTTTGCGTGTTTGTGTGTGATTGTTTGTGTGTGCGATTTTGTATGTGAGCTTGTGAGTGTTTTTGTGATTGTTCTTGTGTTTCTGTGTATATGTGGTGTGTGTGTATATATATTTATGCGTGCTTGGTTGTGTGTATCTGTGAATGTATATTTATGTGTGCGTCA